AATAATTTTTTTGAAATTATTTTTAATTATGCTTTACTAATTATTACCTCATAGCGCATAGTTATATTATATATCTCATAATAAAATTTTTTTCTAAATTTTTTTTTTGGGAGAGAGGGGGGTGTTTAAATGGTGGGCTAAAGTTATCCTACGTGTTAGAATCGCTTAAGCCCAATACAGTAAAAAATCTTGCATCTGATCAATAAAGCAGCAATAATTAGTTACTGAGAACATAATTTTACAAAAATAAAATAATAAAACAAAATTCAGTTACGTAAAAAGTAATATAGATACACAATAAATAGTTTAGGTAACAAGAAAGTAAAACAGTAAAAATTATGTGCAAATATACAAGTTTATAAAAAAAGGTTAAAAACAAAATTTATTGCGAAAGTTTATGAACAAAGTAAAAAAATATAAATACAAAGTAAACAACTTTAGGTATTTGTGCAGTTAATGACAGGCAAAACAAAATCAGTTATTGAATCTAAACCTATGACATGGTATTCGCGATAATACTTGATATTTTTTTAATGAATCATCACCTGTTAGGCATAAGTATCCTTCATTATGCACCTAAAGTCATATGAATCCCCAAAAAAGACAAACCCTAGATGATTTTATTGGATTCTTAGACATATTTTTTACTGTTGATGTAAGTGTTGACTGACCCCATACTTTTAAGCATTTACGTGTTTATTTTTTTGAGGTAGTTAAAAAAGATAGTTAAAAAGGTATTTAAAAATTTTTGATTTTTTATGTTACCTTATTTATTTTATGTTAGCTTATTTGTTTTATAAATTTATTTTAGATTCAGAAAGCGTGTACCTTTATATACATTTAAACTTAATGTTATAAGTAAAATTTATTATTTTTTAAACAATTTTTTTAGCTTTTATAGAAACGCCCCCTAGCAACAATGTCTTTTTAGAAAAAAAATTTATTACACAATTATATTTATTTTGTTTTCTTAGTTTTAGTACTCAATAAATTTTATCTTATTTTTTTAGTTGAATCCCCTAGATTGGAGAAGAAATGCAAAACTTCGGCGTAAATCTATGTGAACGATGAAAACAAACTTTTTAGAGAAATTCATCATCAGAATACTCTGAGGTGAGCCAAATTTTTCGGTTCAAAAATTTTTTTTATTTTAATGAAGCTATTGAATAAGATCTACTAGAAAGATCTACATTCTTTATTCGAATCAATATGCTATTTGCTACGGATTTTAAACACTTTTCCATCACTGAAAAAGAGCGATCTTTTAGTAATCTTCGTTTAATCAAAACAGCGCTAATTCTACAATGACTCATGATCGGCTTACCAATCTGCTTGTGAGTACAATCTCACAAAACCTCTGTGTTATAACAAAGTTATTGCAAATTTTGCTTATGAATAAAGTTCGGAGAATAAAGACCGAAGAACAGCTGTTAGACTTTAGGCTTACATTTACTTGCAATATAATAAAGTCAGTTACTCGTCTGCTTGTCTATTTTTAAGTTTATTTATTTTTGTTAAGTTTTTTTAAAAAAAAAATAGTAACTTCCAAGTAAAATAGATCCCTTTGGCTTAGCGGAGGTGAATTAATTTTAGTGGAAGATTAGACTTCGAATATCATTTGGTGTAAACAAAAATTGTCACGTTGCCTTTAATAATTACAACGGACAAATTGAGTTTTGATTTTGATTATGGCTTTTACAAACAAGTTTTAAAAATTAAAATATATAATATTTCAGTTATAGCTTCTTAAATATGGCATAATGCAAAATAAGCAAATAGACTAAAATACTCCGGATTTTCAAAGTATTTTAAGCGCATAATAATTTTTTTTTTTGAAAGCGTTTTAATACATGTTCAATACAATTCAATACTTGCAGAACAATTTAATACTTGCAGAGCAATTCAATTCTTGTTGAGCAAAAAAAATGCTCTTTCAATTTTTTTGGTATCCAATTTTTAAATCAAACTTTGAAAAAAAAGATCAATCTAATTTATATAAAACTTGCGAAACTTTTTTATGTGTAAAAAAAAAACTTTTGAAAGTACTTTATGTGTACTAAAGTCTGACTTAACATCAACAATACAAGCCGACTCGTACAAAAAACAAAATGAGTCATTATTTAATCAAAAAAAAAATAAACTAAAAGTGAATTATATAACTATATTGAAGCTTCCTCCATATATCTTTCTTGTTTACGAACTACAGCATTTCTTTGTTGTATACGAGCTAAAGCTTTTCTTTGTTATATACGAGCTATAGTTTCTACTGTCGTGTATGAGTAGTCTTTCTAAAATAAGAATGCCGCTCTCTTGATAAAACAAAAATGCCACTTTTGAATGACTATTTTACTTCTGGAGATATATATATATATATATATATATATATATATATATATATATATATATTTTATATATATATATATATATATATATATATATATATATATATATATATATATATATATATATATATATATATATATATATGTATATATATATATATATATATATATATATATATATATATATATATATATATATATATATATATATATATTAAGCACAGTAAGTTTTGAATTTGTTGACATACAAACACAATACTGGTTTTTCAAATACACACACAATATTAGTTTTTAAAATACAAACACGGTACTGATTTTATATATATATATAAAATACTGATTTATATATATATATAATACTGATTTATATATATATATAATACTGATTTATATATATATATATATATATATATATATATATATATATATATATATATATATATATATATATATATATATATATATATATATATATATATATATATATATATATATATTTTACAGACAAGTTTACTATTATTCATAAAGTTTAAAAAACTTTAACAAAACCTAAACAATTTTAGAGAATGCAAAATAGCAAGGACGGATCCATAGGAGAGGGGGCAATAACGGCGATCATTAGTAAGTGACTGGGGCTCCGGCCCCGGCTAAAAACAGATTTTTTTGCAAACCTGGCCCCGTCCCCGGCTAAACAAACACAATTTGCAGGGATTACACAAACACAATTTAGCCGGGGCTGGATTTTTTTTTTAACTCAATTCTTTTTTTCAATTTTGTTCAAGTTAATATTTGTTATGAAAGTTTTAAAAAATCTAAGAAAAAGTAAAAAAAATAATATATACAAATATAATATAATTCATAAAACTTACGATAGCAAATAAGAAATAAGACATTCTATAAAAATTTAGCCTTCTTTCTCTGATTCTGATGATTCGGCATCCCAGATATTGCGCTGAAAAGACAAAGTGCTTTAATAAGTTTTGTTATCTTGGAGAACCAATTAGATCAGTTGGTAAAGCAGAAGAGTCATTAGGAGCAAAAGTAGGAGAAAATGATGATAATGATAATAATGATGATGATAATGATGATGATGACGATGATGATGACGATAATGATGATGATGATGATAAAGATGATGATAACAATGATAAAAGTAGTATATTTATATGGTCTATTAATATTAATGCAGCTCCGGTCATAAACCCGACTCCGGCTAAGTTTTATTAAACCCGGCCCCGGTCAAATATCAACCCCCGGTCACTTACTAGCGATCGCCCTCTATGGATCTTACTTACCTCTTACATGGTTTGAAAAAACTTTTTTTTGTGAATAATATTTAATATTTGCATTTCTTTGTAAAAAAAAAAAAATAACTTAACTAAAATATTAAAATATTTTGAAGTAATTTAAAATTATTGAAACACAACAATTTGAAAAAGATCAAAGAGTTGTTCAATTAAATAGGTATTTAAAACCTCAATTTGTTCATTATTTTATTAACAATTTGCTGACTTTGCAAAATGGTCAATCACGTTTTCAAAATTTACTGTAATTTCTCTGTACACATTAAGGCCAATATGAGTTGTCTGTTTTCTGTTCTTTGTATTCTTAGCCAGTTTTTAACTGCAGGGTTGAAAAATTACATTTAGCACTGGCAACACTTACAGGACATAACCTAATAATTTAAAACAACTTGTGAGTGATTGGATATTGCACCTAGTTACACAAATCAAAATCAACAGAAAGATCAGTAAACAAGATTTGATTCCTCCCTCATCCTTCACCTTTATACATTTGCACTGCCATAATTTAACTTCCAATGTAAATTCAATTCCAGGTAAGCTTTGAATACTAAGCCCAAGAATGATGACATAGACATAACTGATTGCAGAAACAGTTTCAATAATATCTTTATGATTCAGTGTAACAATATTTTTTGACATCAAAGTCAAAAAATATTGTAATTTTTATATAAAAAAAATTGTATTTATGTCCAGTAAAAATGCAACTTTTTTTTTTGATTCAAATGACTGAGCCCATTTGTTAAAGAGAACAGCACATCCTAAAGACGCAATAAAATCACTTTCTCTAATTGATAATAAAACTTGCTTACAATCATGATGTTCTTTCATGCCTATAGGTACTGTTTTACCAGCGCATCAATTGTTTAAGCAATCTAAGCACTAATCATATCGCGTATCTCTCAACAAATCGTGTTTCGCAAAGTAAAAGTAGTAGTAAATTAAGCATGGTCTTTAAATAAGATTTCATTTTGCAGGAGCATTGAAAAAATCAAAAACATTGAAAAAATCAAATAAAACCCAAAAAATATCTGATATTCAAACAAAAATAGACTAAAAAATTATATGATTTATGGAGTTGCTGGCAAAAATCTAAAAATTGTCTTCTTTTACTTGATGGTCTGGATCCACCCTTAGAAAAATGCTCCTGTTAAATTTAAATCTTAAAAAAGTTCTCAGTTTTCTAATGTATTTTTTATTATTTATTCATTTCGGTGTACTTTTTAAGGGAACTTCCTAAAGAGTATAGGACTTCATTTTTTTCCCAATCTTTGATAAAATTTTAATGGAGAAAAAATTATTCTTTTGAACATTCATTTCTTAAACTCATTGCAGCCGTAAACCACTGTGAGCCGTAAGCCACTGTGATGTGATCCAGCTGAGTAAACCAAGCAAAAGACAAGCCAAGACTATTGCCGTACCACAAAATATACCTTCGCGGAATCGCATGGGAATAAACCATCTTATTAAAAGTATATATGATGGCCGATACTGTCGATGTGGAGAAGTATTTGAAGACCATAGTTAAGAACTTTGATAACGATCTACTTACTTATATTACAGGTAATACATTATTTTTAATTACCTAATGCTTGCAAAAAAAATTTAGTTACAGTAATACAATTTTTTTTATTCATTCCAATTAATGCATATAAATGCAAATGTTTTTTTTTTTTTTCTTTTGTAAATTTGTTTGCCTTCAATAAAAAGAATTTACAATTACAGAATAGCTTTATTACAAATATAATAATCGGCAGGACTTCCAGAAGATCATACGATTTTATCATGAAGCCCTTTACAATATCAAATATAATAATATTTACAATAAAATCAAATTAACCAATAAAAATATATCAACATAAACTATATATAACTGTGCATTTTAAATATAAATATACTGGATAAAATATATGAAACAAAGGAACTAAAAACAAGAAAAAATATTTTCTGCTGAAAAGATAACTTCTTTTAATTTTCGTTTGAAAGAAGTCAAAGTCCAGTTCAAAGACAAATCAAAATTTAGCAAAACTATTTTATTCCATTAATAAGGACCGCAATATGAAATAATTAGTTGTTCAAATTTAGTTTGGAAGAAAGGTTCTTGTAGATTTTTCTTTTGCGAAAATTGTATTTGTTTATGGGTTTTACATTATAAAGGTTTATAAATACATTAGGAGATAAATGATTTTTACATTTAAACATGAAACAAAATATTATAGACATTTATTTTGTATACATTTAAGGTTTTCATTTCTCTCAGAAGTAATTTTGAATTTGAAAAACAATTTACAAAATTAATTAAGTGAGCTGCCTGTTTCCGATGCTGATAAAGAGATTTAAGTTTAGTTTAGTGCACGCTTCCCCATACAATATTTGCTTAATTTAAATGGTAGTGGATAAACAATATAGTTGTTTTAATTGTTGTTTATTTAACATATGTCGAACTTTATATATAGTTCCAAAACTTTTAGAAATTTCATGAAGATATTATCGATTTGTTGCTTCTAGGATAAGTTTTTTGTCTACAAGAACTCCGAGAAGTTTTGTAACTTTTTCCTTTTTAGTATTGTATTATCAATGAAGAGGTCTTGCATTGTATTTGGTAAACATTTTTTTGTGGATATCGGGTAAAAAAGTGTCCATTTTGTTTAATCAATATTGAGGGACAATTTGTTGTTCTTAAACCAATATAAGATTTTATTTAATTCTTGTGTCATATTATTAAAAAGTGTATTTATATTTTAAATGAGATTGGAACAGGTTTGTGTCATCAGCAAAAATTTTAGTGGTTAAGTTTGAGGCTATTTACATTTTTTATTAATCATTTTTTATTTCCTTATATTATGGTTGTGAGATAAGGCAACAAAATATAGCATCTGACATCCATGGGATTTATATTTTTTTAAATCTATTTATTAAAAAAGTTAGATACCTCAAAATAAATCTAGAAAAATAGTTCACTTTTTACCAAGTTTAAATCAAATATCTTGTGACTAAACTTAGCATAAATGACATATTGAGATCTAGTCTACATGTAAATTATTCACATAAAGTTATATCTTTCAAGTTATATCTTTGTTATACTTTTAAGAGTATTACAAAAAGTATTTCTAAGTTAAAATTTTTCTCAAATGTTTTAAAATCTTAAATCTTGTTTTTGATTATTAAAATTTTAGAGACATTGAGTTAACAACTAATATAACTCAAATATTAACTTTAATGGTGTCAGCAAGTAAAGAACAGAAATTTTTTAGGCATTAACTTAAAAAAGCACTTTCACTATAAAATAATGTTGGTTTAATAATGTCTATATACTATAATATATTTGTTGGTTGAAAAAACAAAAGAAAGGGAAGCTTATATATATATATATATATATATATATATATATATATATATATATATATATATATATATATATATATATATATATATATATATATATATATATATATATATATATATATATATATATATATATATATATATATATATATATATATATATATATATATATATATATATATATATATATATATATATATATATATATATATATATATATCAGGGGTGGGCAAGTTTGATTTAAAGAGAACCAAATTTTAGATTTTTCATTGTATATGAAAGCTGCAGAGGGGGGGGGGGGGGGTCCTTCTTATCTGCTCAAATAAAAAAAAATAATTATGTTTATATATTTATGTTTAATTACATGATTTTAATTTACAAAGTTGACAAGAAGAATAATAATTTTAACAACTATAAATGTTTTTAATATAATACAAATGCAAAATGAGTAATGTCAGTTTTACATTATGCAATTTATCGTGCAATAAATGTGTATATTTTATATTGTTGTAGTATTGTTTAGTAGTGAAAATCAAGTATGTAATACGATTTATTGTACAATAAATAGCTTATTTTAGAACGCGGCTTTAGAAACAAAAAGAAAAATAATGCAATTTATTAATCTTACTTAATTAATGAATACATTTGGCAAATTCTTGGTAGTTCGGAGTAAAATTTGTTAGAGCTGTTTGTAACAATTGTGTGAGGTGTTTATTTTTTAACTGTGAACAATGTTTTGACTTCACAAACTTCATTGTAGAAAACAATGATTCACAGCAATATGTTTTGCTAAAAATTGAAAATAGATGGCAAGCTGCCTTTTTCAAGTGAGGATATTTTGATTTTGGCACTAGGTTCCAAAATTCAAGTGTGGATGACTACTTGTGGTGGTTAATGCCTGGTCTTCTTTCATCTCTAGTAACTCTAATTCTGCAGACGCTTTCTCAGCTAGTATGACTTCAGAAATTTGAAAACCATCTTCAATTATGTCGCAAATAAATTGATTTATAAAATAAGAAAATGAAGACTTCAGACTATTGATGTCTTTAAATCTATTTCGTAAATCTGATTTCACTCACTGCACTGCACCAACACATATTGTACTCGCTATGTTATAAAAATATGTTATAAAAATATTTAAAAAAAGTTAAATCTGAAAAATAAATATAGTAGTACAAAAAGCAGAAATTGATAAATTTACCAGGAGCCACACATAAATAGAAAAAGAGCCGCAGCATCTGGCTCTATGAGCTGCACTTGCCCACCTCTGATATACATATATTAACCCTTGGAATTAGGGTTGGCATTCGAAAAGCCAGCTCAAATATGATATCAGTATTATATAAAAGGACAAATTTATTTAGGAAGAAAATATAATTAGTAGTAATTTTTAGATATTTATCAATATAGGAACAATAATATTGTGATTTATTGTTAGCAGTAAACATGTTTTGTTTGGATTAAATTTTGCCTCAAACTGTCACCTAGGAGTGATTTTTTTTCAAGATCTGCTGCTTGTTTTAAGTAATTAATAATAATGACTTTTTGTCTGGAGTACTTTTTTGTCTTTCACTTTTTGTCTGGAGTATTTTTTGTCTTCTACTTTTTTATCTGGAGTACTTTTTGTCTTCTATTTTAGAGGGAAGAATATTAGGAAGATCACTTTAAAGGGAAGAATTTTAGGAAGATCAAGACAAGTGGATCATAATTTTTTTTCTGGAGTAACTGTTGTTACAAACAACATAGATGCCCCAGAAAAACAATGTGTGACAACCCAGGTGGTTTTGAAAATGAAAAAAGTATTGTCAATCAATTATATCCTAATACTGTATTTAAAAAGGAATGATTCAATAATTTAGAAAACTTTTCCAAATACACCATATGTGGGAGTTTATGTAGAAAGTCTTTGAGTCTTTGATCAACTAATTTCTCACATCCATCTTGATTCAAATAACTTACTGTCAGACAATCAACATATTTTTTGATAGGAGTTAGAGAGACTAGAGCTCAACATATCTAAAACTTTTGACAAAGTTTGACATGCTGTTCTTCTCCATAAGCTTGCTTCATATGGTGTATCTGCAAATGTTTTAGAGATTATCAAATTGTTTCTTTCTGACCGCTTTATTAAAGTCATCTTCCAAGGTCAACACTCTTCTTCATTTCCAGTAACTTCTGGGGTACCTCAAGATTCTATCCTTTGGCCTGTTTTTTTCTTATCTACATTAATGATGTTCCTGATAATCTTACATCTAAAGTAGCTCTTTTTGCTGATAATTCAACTTTATATTCCTGTATTGATAGTAGTCTTTGACTTTTCTTTTCGATCGCTTAGAACAGGCAGCAAATCTTGAATCTGATCTCACTTCTGTAACAGATTAGGGCTCGCAGTAGCTTGTAAATCTTAATTCCAACAAAATTCAGATATTTACTGCAAATAACTATTGCAATACTGTTGACATTTCTATATTAATGAATGGTTAACCCCCCCCCCCCTATACCCCCTATATTTCTGGTAACACTTTGCAGTAATGAGGGGTGGGGTGGGAGGTGCAATAATATAAAATTGTTCTTTGGTATATTAGTTCGTCTTTGTTATTTTTTAACATATTATCTCTCATATTTGAATATTATCTTATAATTATCTAAAATAATTACTGTTAAAATTTACAGCTTAATAAAGTTTAAGTTGCAGATGTAATAAGCAAGTAACATATTTAATACTCTTAAGATATTACTTTTAGTAATTGTTTTTACATAACATGATACTTAAAAAAGTAAAAGTAAAATAGTAAAATTATAAAAAAGCTAATATTACAATATTTGCGTTAATTTTTTTCATTTATGATAAGTCATAGAAAACTATTAATGTTTATACCGACAATAAATTTGTTATTTTTAAAGAAGGTATTTCTCATTTTAGTTGTCCGTTATGATAATCAGAAGTCCAGTGTAAAAGTTTTTTTAAATATTTTTTCTCAAGTGAAACTAATGATTTTTTTTTTAATTTTAGTTTATGCAAAGCTGTGTACTTTGTTTTCAAGCATCAAGTTATTTTAAGTTTGTGAAAAAGTAAAAAACAAAACAATAAATTTACGACTATTAAAGTAATAACACTCTAGTCACTAACTGCATTATAAAATTAATAAAACAATAATAGTGTTATTACTTTTATTAAGCACTTATAACAGTTAAAGTTCATTCTTTGTTCAAACAAC